CCCCCCAAATATCCAATCTACAAGAAGCTGAGTACACAATTCTGTCTTTATTAGGTATAACATGTTGTCAGATCAAATGTTGCAGGCTGCACTGGATCAACGCCGTCTACTTCCGCAAAGTAATCAAAAGAGGGAGCGCAGGCCTTGGCACGGCAGTCCTTGGCACGGCAGTCCTTTAAAGCCTTGGTTCTCAACTGGTGGGTCGTGACCCAAAAGTGGGTCGCGACCCCATGTTTAGTGGGTCACAGCGTGCCTTCCACTTTTTTAGGCGAGAGGCTCCTCAGGCTCCACCTTTTCGCACGCCAAAATATGTTGCCCGGGACCCACTGTAAGCTTGAGGTGAAGCAGCTATGGTCGCGAGGGAGCTCCATCTATACGTACAGCTCCCTCAGGTGTCCTGTAGTGGTGCCTGGACCAGAGTGACGTCACATTCTGGCTCCAGGCACATCTACAGGGCGCACACGAGAGCTGTACCAGCAATGCACATATGGATGGAGCTCCGTCACAGCACAGCAGCCCACCCTGGACCCCAGGCTGAGGATCCACTCCAGTTCTCTTAAGGTAGGGAGACTGGGCAGCCCTGTGCGATTAAAGCACTGCACCATGCAATCGCAACTACCACGCGTTATGGTGTGGGAGGTGTGATGCGTTGCCATTCATTTGAATGGCATCCCAAACGCACCTCCCACCCACAGTTCGATCGCAGTGCTACTTGGGTTGCGCCTTAATGACCAAGGACAAATGTGGATCCTGAGGCTACATAGGTTGAGAAACACTGCTTTAAAAGGACCCTGCCAGCATTGTGACTGCAATCAATGCGTCGGGGGGTGCGATGCACAAGCTCCTTCACTGTTTACTTTCAGGTCCAGGCCAAGGTATGGGCCTTCTGCGATGGGGCTGCAGGATGCAAACAATGCACTACAAGTGCGGAAACATCCCCACACCTGTGCCAGCGAGAACTGCGAGTCCCTCTGTCGCGGTGACAGCCAGGACTTGTATTCTCCACATTGGCAGGGATCTCCCTCCGCGTATTTGCACTACAGTCAAACAGACAGCAGGATGCTGTAGGCAGAAGCAGCCCGGCATTATGGTAAGTGGGAGGGGCAGCTTGAGGGCGGGGGTTGGGGAATGTGACCATGTTTCATGTAACACCCAAAATGTGGGTCACAAAGGTCAAATATGTCTTTAATAAAATTGTTTTAAGGCACAGTTCACCTTTCTTTGAAAATTAATATATGCACCCGCATTAATGGAAAACAAAATTGCTACTGTGATCAGTGCTGCACGCACAACGCACACACAACGCACACACAACACACTGATCACAGTAGCACATTTTTTCCCATGCACAGACTGCTGCAGACGTTTCCCCCTCAGTCCCAGGTCTCTTCCTACTAGGGATGAGCTTGGGTTTGCACTGAACCCAGTAAGAACCTGAGCGCCTCCAAACAAGGAAGTGCCATGGGCACTTCCACCCAATCAGCTGTGGACCATGCATTCCCTGCACCTCGGCTGCATGTAAACAAAGGGGCGGGATGCTTTTGCTGATGTAATTTACCTTATATGGCCACATAGTCATATTAGTAAGTGTCACTTACCAAATATAGGCATGTAGCCATATAAGGCGTCACTGCATCCCGCCCCTTTCCTTTGTCACGCTGGGTGGGCTTCCTGCCAGCAGCTGATTGGAATGATATGATACAGCTGCTCAGTTCGAAGGTTGGGGAAGGTGTGTGTGTGTGTGTGTGTGTGTGTGTGTGTGTGTGAATACAGTTCGAAGGTTGGGGAAGGTGCCCATGTTTCAAGTTACACCCTACATATAGATGGATCATGAAATTTTAATAAACCCCTTTTATACTACACCAGTTTAGGGGTGCTCTTCTCTTCCTCTTATAAACACTTCCTGTGCCCAGAGCCCGGGTGAATGCATCCTGACCATGTCACGTGACCACACAGGCATTCTAGGAGTATACAGGGAAATACAGCTCCTCTTACTTCTGCAGGCGGATGAGGTAAGTCTTGTTATCCACGTCGTAGACATTGTTCACTCGCATGCCCAGCAAACTAAGGAACAAAGACAAACAACAGACACAGTTATTGCTCTGACAGTAATAAGATCCCTTCACTATGTCGAGCTGGCACAGCACACCAGCCCCTTGCAGCTCTCCAGCTATTGTGGAAGCAGGCAGGGTACACTGGGACTAGTAGTCCCACAACAGCTGGAAAGGAAGCTTCCCCCACGCGTAAGCTTGCTGTGTCCCCTCCTCCTGCTGCTGGTCACCTGTCATGAAGCTCTGAGATGACAGCCCGGATATCTATGGTGTTGAATCTGTTCTTCATGGTGCCCTGAACTCACAGGCACTTCTGCCACCTTCCAAAGCTGTCCACAGGCTTCCTGCATCACATGCGACGGCAAGCCGGCGAGCTCAATTCTGTAACGCGTTTGGGGTGCGACCTCTAGTGGTGACGTGGGTGGAATGGCGTGCTGGCTTTACGTGCATTATTCGCTTTTCTCCGACAGGAGTCACTGCTGCTCCCAGGGACTCCTATAATGATATGTTTTAGAAATGCATTCATCTGTAACGTGCAATTTATTAATTGCAGACATTTAATATGCTAAACAAATGACATTTTTTGAAACAAAATAATGTATGAAATAAATGTATCACTTGTCTGATGTGGTCCCTTTTATTTTGTGCTTTTAACCAGGCTCCCCTAGAGCCACCATATTGATACCGAACTTAGTGCGGACACCCGATCGACATAGCGCAGGGCAGACCAGAACTCCTGGACTCAAGCAATCCGACAGACTCAACCTCCCAAGTAGCTGAGATTACAGACGCACGCCACCGCGCCCGGCGAGTACAATACACTGCTCTGTGTAACAAGAAGCTGAATTCTCCGTGACGTCAACTAGCTCAGTGTTGCCATCTGTGGTCAGTTGTATTTACTACACCTGTTGGCTGTACTGAGAGGCGCTCTCTACGAGACCTGCGGACTTGCTTTTTAGGTGGCCCCGCCAGTGCCTGACTCGGAAGGACCCGTTTCTAGCGTCCGTACTGTCGCCTTGGCAACGTGCGGAGGACCGTCCTTGGCAACCGGCGTGCGACCTTAGTTACCCGCAGACAGCAACATGGCCGAGGAAGAGGAAGGGATCGTCAGACCTAAAAGGATCTTTATCAATAACCTCGACTCGTACGCTGCCAGGAACATCGGCAAGGTGAGGAGAGCTGGGCCAGGTTAGCGGCTGCAAAGCAGGTGTAAAGCAGGCGCTTATAGGGGCGAAGCAGGCGCTAATAGGGGCGAAGCAGGCGCTAATAGGGGCAAAGCAGGCGCTAGTAGGGGCGAAGCAGGCGCTAGTAGGGGCAAAGCAGGCGCTAGAAGGGATCAGGCGTGGGGAGCCGGGGTGACTGCTGAGGTGGTTAGCAGGCCCTTTTAATGCACACCCGGGTTCAAGTGAATCTAAAGCCAAAACGATTTCTTTTTGTTTTGCATATAATAAGAAAAACAGGCGGTTGAGAAATTTCCCCTTCCTCCTTTCCCAGAGCACAATAGGAAGTGGAAGGAAATCTATCAAAGCGAAGGCGATTTCCTAGTGTCCCCAAAATGAGCGTCCCCAATGAAAGATTTTCTTTGGGTTCGCTCACATGAGGTGCATTGACCTGTGTTACTTAGCATGAATCAGTGCAAGGGGAATGCATGTGCGGTGGGGGCATCCGGGGATTTTAGGGCCGGTGCTCTTTTAGAATCCTGGACCCGCGAGAAATCTGGACAAACAACAAATTTGGACCGGTGACAAATCTGGACCGGTCCAGAATTTTCACAGGTTATTTGCCTGTATTGCACATGTGTGAGGAAGGAAGAGGGTCCAGAAAGCTGTCAGGCGAGGCGCCTGCAGACACAACACTTAACACATAATAATTTCTTTATATTTCTATTATTATTATTATTATTATGTGTGAAGTTTTGTTGCCGCAGGCGCATCACCTGCAAATGCTCTGGACCCCCTTCCTTCCCCACACATGCGCAATACAGGCAAATAGCCTGTGAGAATTCTGGACCCCATCAGCTGGTCAGCGCTTGCACGTTCAACCAACACCATCTGCAACTGCTGAGACCGCGTCATTTCCGGTCCAGATTTCTCACGAAGTCCAGCAATCTGTTAGAACACGTTTTTACCTAGAGACACACTTTAATTTGTATTAATGGGAACATGTGTACACAATAGGGATGTAATTGTTTCACAGGCCATTGTGAGGGGTTCCCGTCCTCCCTGGATTTTTAATTTATTTTATATCATGGAGAATAAATGGGAGTATTGGGAACACCCCCAAATGGGCAGATACTCTGAGGTACAATAGGGACTGGAGCCAGGACCTATTACAGGGATATCTATATTCACTGAAGGTCACTCCGCCCAGCAGAATTATTTTTGGGTGGAATGGCCCTCAAAAATGTGACCTGCAGCCTAGGTAAATGTAAAGTCTACATGTAATATAAAGTATAATTGCTTTATTTATCCCCAAATATTCTGACACTGTAGACTCGTTGGCTTTATTATTTCTGTAGTATCTGTCTGCCTGCATTGCTGGAGCTTCCTTTGAAGAAATTGAAGAGGAGGCAGAGGAGCAAGAACACTTGTCAGAGGATGAGGCAGTCCGCAAACCCAAACAGGGTCTCTTCCAGATAGTAGGGACTCTGTCCAGCCCTCCGGACAGGAAGCTGGGTTTTCCAGTGGAAACGTATGTGGTAAGCAACATCAGGATGTCATTTGTTCTTTCTTATTATCTTTACATCACTTGTATGTTTTGGGGATTATTAGACAGCTTTTCACTCATGGCTCCTTGGGCCGTGCCTCCTAGCTTCCCTTAATTCCAACATTGCAACCTCTGCCAGACTCATCAGCATTGGATGCTGCCAGGATTGTTGGATGCCTGGGCCCCTCAATGTGCACCATCAATGGAAGGATCAGAGAAAGGAATTACATTGTGTAGTGGGGGGGGCACAGGCATCTATCACTCCCCAAAGTGTCCAGTGCTAAACAGTCTTATGAAGGATGCTGAGCTGGGACGGAGGCAAGGTAAGAGGCACAGGCGAGTTTAGTATAATCACTATTTTGTCATAGGAAACTGGATTTAAAAAAAAACAACCTAAAATGGTAATATTAGACCCCGCTCACAGTAGTACGATTTGTCCTGCGTCTGCCTTAGAAGTATCCCCTTCACACACAGTACCGATGTACCCTAGAATCCAACAGGTGTTGGAACAGCAGGCTGATGGCGCCACAGTATACAATCTAGAACCTTGGTTCTCAACTGGTGGGTAGTGACCCAAAAGTGGGGCGCGACCCCATGTTTAGAGGGTCACAGCGCGCCTTCCACTTTTTTAGGTGAGAGGCTCCTCAGCCTCCCCCTAGCACAGCACTGTCAGTTTTCACACCAAAATATGCTGCCTGGAACCCAGTGTAAGCTTGAGGTGAAGCGGCTATAACTGCGAAGGAGCTCCATCCATATTTACCGCTCCCTCGGGTGTCCTGTAGAGGTGCCTGGACTGGAGTGACGTCACATTCTGGCTCCTGACTCCTCTACAGGGCACACAAGGAAGCTGTACAAGCAATGCACATATGGTTGGAGCTTCATCACAGCGCAGCAGCCCACACTGGACCCCAGGCTGAGAATCCATTCTAGTTCTCGTAAGGTAGGGAGACTGGGAAGTCCAGTGCAATTAAAGCACTGTACCATACAATTGCACCTACCACGCGTTCTGGTGTGGGAGGTGTGTTATGTCGCCATTCATTTGAATGGCATCCCAGACGCACCTCCCATTCACAGTTCGATCGCAGTGCAACTTGGGTCGTGCCCTAATGACCAGGGACAAATGTGGGTCCTGAGGTTACACAGGTTGAGAACCACTGATCTAGAAGATATGTTGTCCGCACACCATTCTGCTTCAGAATATCATCTTCATTCGTATTCCTTTAGCATGACATATGGATGTCCTGCGCCTGCCGTCGCACTGCAATGCACAACAATGAAAATCACATTATTCTTAATGGTGCTCATGCACATCAATGCAACATAGTGCAATGCAATTTCTGAAAAGGTGCTCGTGCTTCCTTTGGTGCTACACAAGCAGCGTTTTTGGCTCCAAAGACTTCAAAGCGAGCGCATGAAAAATGCATGTACATGTGTTCTGGCGCTTTTTCACATGTTTATGGTCAATTCTCCTCGAATGAAGATGACATTTAATGATGTCACCGCAGGTATTGCATGTCATTGACTGAAAGAAAAACACAGGAAGCATGAATATGCATCATCAATAAATCAAATTACTGAAAATTCACCAGCGACACTAAGTCCTAGCAGAGGTCCGCCCCCTCTACAGAGTATGGCCGGATTCTTCCTTTACTACATGCCTGTTTGGTTGGAGTAAGGACTCACTCCTGCCAGCCAGTACCCAGCTGTCTTTCCGCCGCTAAAGCCATGGAGGATTGGTGCTTTATTCCTATGCTTTGGTATAAATAAATCAAATCCACACAAAACTGCACTGAAAAATGCAGAATTACGCAGCAGCAGCACTAGTGTTGAACCTTAGGTTAGTGAGGTCATCTCTGTTATATATGAAGCTGCAAGGAGAACACATGAAAGTAGCACCGCTCCTCCACGGCTCAAAAAAGGAATGAGCCGGGTACTTGCCACTGGAAGCACGCCCTCGCTCCAATATGAGCTCATACAAACAGAAGAAAAGATGGCGGCACACCGGATTCCGCTGGGATTGTTTATTGAAACTTGTACCACATCACTACAAAAGAAAAGATGGCCGCACACCGGATTCCGCTGGGATTGTTTATTGAAACTTGTACCACATCACTGGTGTCCAGGCCAAGGACGCCAGAGGGTGTCAGAGGGGGTGGACCAGTCATTTGGTCCAGGTTTGAATATACTTAAATATAGCTTTTCTTCTGTTATTAAGTGGATTGTACTCCAAGTAGGAACTATGCCACCCAGCACTTTGTGAGCGGTTGGAACCTGCCAATAGGGCATCATCAAAAACTATGCCCCCCCAATGGCTTTATGTGATTAATAATCTGCCATTGTTTGTTTTTGTTTTTCAGATTTCAAATAGACATGAACTGTTAAGTCATCTTCTGGAGAGCGATGTCATCATATATAATATCACTGGGGACCCATCCCAGATTGATGAAGCTTCCTGGGCAGCGTCTGGTGGGTGGTCTTCTGTTATTATAATAAACTGCTCTAAAATATATTGGTCTGTATTGAGTCAGTGGCAGTGCCCACCGCAGCTAAACTAAGGGGCATTCTCCAGAATTAGGAAATCATTTATGATTTATGGCGGGTGCTCTCCCTACATTACGCTTAAAGAAAAACGTGGAAGGAAAATCTGTTTAATGTTCCATTACCTGTGCAATAAAAAGTCTCATTTACCATACTGAGACTGATCCATGAAAACCTTATATTTTCCTGTCCTGGAAGTTCAAATAATTAAGATTGTCTACTATGAGTAACAGCTTTGATTTTGTTCTAAATTTTCTTTTCTCCAGTTTTAGTGAATCAGCCACCATTTTGTTATCGCTGAAAATCAGTCTAAACACCATTACATTTTTTTTCTTTATTCAGCACTTCACACGGAAATTCAAAATTTTGAAAGCCAGAAAATGTTTATTTTGATATCTACGGTCATGACCTGGGCACGAAGCAAGCCAATGGACCCGGTATGTGTGCCAGATACCACCATGCATTTATTTCCATCTCCATTTTACTTATATCATCTCCAGTTTAGTTTATTTGTCTTAACTCAGTTATGCAATAAATTAGGGATGTCCAGATACCAGTGCCGATACCAGTGCCGATACCAGTGCCGATACTTGGCATTTTCATGAGAATTACCAGGGTTGCAGCGGTTGCAGCTACAATCTCCTTTATATCTACCCAAAATTATGCACAACAAGGGCCTGCCTGATCGGGTAACAATTAATTGGATAGTTTCGGTGGGCCCTCATAGTTTGGGTAGATCTAAAGTTCATTGTACAGAGATTGTATGGCCAGATTGTAACATGTACGTTGAGCCTTACTTAACTTCAGCAGAGAGAAATCAGGTCTCCTGCCCTACCAGACAGGGCTGTGCTGTGTGGCAGAGCTGTGTATATATCATAACCGGATGGACAAAAATAGGCAGGTAAAACAACTCCTAAATATTTGTATGGAAGAAGCTAAATCTTTGTTTTCGGTGCTGATTAGGGCATCATCTATAGCATTTATTTAGATTCTAGCACCTGTTGTCTTGTTACAGGACGATCCCGAAATCCCTTTTACAGAAGATGATTATCGGAGAAGGAAATGTCACTTAAACTTCACAGATCATTTAAATGCAGAAAAACTCATCATTAAGCTGGGGAAATCTGTAAGTACTTGTATGCCTTTGTGAAAATGACCCTCTTTTGTTTACTCTCCTATCATAAAGAAAAATCCAAAATTTACAGTTGTCTCAGGAACAGGAATAGAGGGGAAATCTTCCAATGGTAACTAAACTCTGTGCTGAGTGGCTTCCTGTTCATTCATAAAGTGAGCCTATAGTAAATATTTACTATGTCCCCTTTCATAAATGAACAGTAAGGGATTTCTGGCACTTCCTGTTCATTCTGAACTGGGGACATAGTTATTTATTAACACTGAGTGATCAGTACTGATTGCTCAGTTTTGGTGCTCAGCTTTCCATCCTGACTGCTCCGCCCCCTCCTGCCTGTCAGCGGAGCCGAGCTCTCCTCCCCGCATCACCCTGCTCGGCCTTCTGAGAGGTCTTTCCTCCCCACACTGCAAGGTGTTCTGTGAATGAATGAGAGGAGGAGAGGGTAAACCACGAGATCCCCCTCTCATCCATTTACAGAACACCTTGCACGCAGGGAAAAGAATACAAGGCTTTTTGTGAATGAGCGAGGAAAGGGGAGAGTGAGCATCATAGAAGTAGGAATGTGCACCTGTGTGTGTCCCTAGACTGAAAATCTGTCCAGTACGGCCATTAAAATGAAAAGCCTTACCTGCTGTAAGGGGGATAGGCCCAACTGGTATTGGCAGCAGTAAACCACGCACAAGAGACAAGACAGGGACACCCAGGAATAGTGCAAGCAGGTTTGTCCTGCTTTACGCAAACACTGTATGAGTGCAGCGGGGCATTGAAAAGCAAGTCCATGGCATAAAATAAGCAATACAACGGCTTGTCTGAGCCATTAACTAAACTCAGGTCAGTTCCTGACTAACAGGGTGCCCCATAATGGGCTCCCTACCACAAATATACAGCTCTTGTAGCTTTATAGTGTTCTGCCAGCACTCAGCTTTTTCACCCAGCAGCAGAGTGAGAGAGAGAGAGCTCCACGCATCAGTCAACTCACATATATAAAGGCCTGTGGACAGCTGTGACTAGAAATGAGGTCTAGCTGCCAGGTATGATGTGGACCTCGGAATGGAGGCTTTATCTCACACAAAGCTCTACAAAACCTCCAGTCTCCAGGACACAGAATAGAACCTATTAAGATTCTGAGAAAATCTCCTCATCAGCCACAAACCCTGGAGCCCCTCGCCATATGAATACAGTATAAGAAACCTAGGTGACACATACACACTGGCCACAGTCCTACTAGCCAGTGCCTCACAATGCTTATAACCAGACACAACAATAAGCTTAAAGTGAGAGCTGCCCATGTTAGTATCTGAATGAATGTACAGTACGTTTAATGCATTTTCCAATGTAATATTTTTTCAACAGAACAAAGGCAAGTTCACAACTTATGTGATTGCATCTGGCCTCCTGTATGGAGCAGAGGAAGGAATCCTTCATACATTATTTAAAGTAAGTGCTTTTGTAGGATGAACATTCTATAATAAACTGCAATAAACTTGTAGCCACATTTACTTATATTCTTGTATGCTGAGTCTTTTGGTTTAGTTACATCTGTGCAGCTAAAGATGCATTTTAATGATTACTGCAGAATACTTCCTGTTCTTGGATGGCTACACCCACTTAGGGGATCTGTATGGTGCCCTATCATAGCCACTGCAATGTGAACTGCTCACCTCTCGATCCTGTCACGGCTCTCTGCTGTGACAGGGGAGGGGCTGGATTCCCCCCTCCCCGCTCCGATCTGCCAGCGCTGACTGGCGGGTCGGACGGGGAGGGGGCGGGTACAGCTGGCTCTGCCTCTAGATAGGCAGAGCCAGCTGTCAGTCACACAGCTGGGCGGATCCCGGCACAATTGTCGGGATCCGTTTCAGCTGCGGCGTCTCAGTATACCGCGAGCTACAGCTCGCGGTATACTGAGCCTAGGGTGAAGGGGAGGACGCTAGTTTGTGTCCTCCCCTTACCCTAAGGAGAACTACGGGGAAAAGCCTTAACCCCATAGTTCTCCTTTAAACAAAAACTTGGCAATAAAGTTTATTAAAAATCAGATAAATCATTTCAGGTACATCAAGACAAAAGGTGTGCAAATGCCATTCCCCTGCCAGTCTGCTGCAGAGAAAGACACTTGCTGTCTGTGTGGAAGCAGTGATCACTCTGCAGAGGCCCAGGATATATCCCCTGCTAAATCATACCTATAGTTCTGCAACCAGCAAATCTCATGCTTTCTGAGAACCCAAACTTGGGGAAGGGGTTCCAACCTCTGCTGACAGACCCCATCTACACACAGAGTAGGAGTCCTTCTATGCAGCCTGCAGGCTGTGGCTGCTTTCTAAAGACATTTGTAAAGTGATATCACCACCCTAGAAACCAGAGTGTGGTTTCATCACAGCCCAGATTTTTGCATGAGCAGGAGGGGATTTTACAACCCTTTTCCCCAGCAGTGGAAAGTACAAAGAGATGAACACAGATAAACCACTTAGTTGACAATATAAGCTCCATTCAGATAAAACTGGCAGGTTCTCTTTGTGCACGTTTAACTGTACCATATACAGTCTGTGGGTGCACTCATAATGGCTTTTGCTTTTCATACATGTAGGAGGCCTGGCTGGGAGAGACCACGGCACTGCCTGTCTTTGGAGATGGACAGAATATCATCCCACTGATCCACGTCACTGATTTAGCAAGGTAAACATTCTCGCAGGATAGAAATAACTGATTTAGTATTGCCCATCATTCAGCTTGTCATTCTGTATTGTGTAAGCCTATTAATGATGACTGTGACATGTGACTATAGAAGGGTAAGTGACACTCAGGTGAGGATCAGCATTGTTTGCTTTCACAGTAAACAGCTCATTCCAGAAAAATAATCTCAAGGCTAGGGTTGCACCGATACCAGTATTGTTATTAATGCAGATACTGAGCATTTGCAGGAATACTAATAATCGTGCAAATGCTCTGATACCAAAAAACAATACCAGAGCTTTAATTATTCAAATGGAAGTGCCTGCCTTATGTCCCGCACTTGCTAAGGACCTCGTGGCAGCCTTATTGGGAACCATGTGGCACCCGTTTACTGCAGTTCTGCTAGCCCGCATATTTCCCCCTCCTGAGACCCTCCACTCAAGACATCAGGCTGACACCCTGGAGCAGACGGAATTGCTGTATAATGTATTGCTGGAATTTGAAGTCCTCTATAGCCAGTGCCATTCTGCATTGCTGTATAATGTATTGTGGGGATCCATAGTTCTCTATAGCCGGTGCCATTCTGCATTGCAGTATAATGTATTGCTGGGATTTGTAGTTCTCTATAGCCGGTGCCATTCTGCATTGCAGTATAATCTTTTGCTGGGATTCGTAGTCCCTCTACATCTTGGAGTCAGTGGCAGAACTACCAGAGTCACAGCAGTAGCTGTGCCCTGGTGCTCCACTACTGTCCTAAAATCATTATTCTGTATTGTTTTAGAAAAACTGTCACATGACACACAAAAAAGGTATTGGTAATTGGTACTGGAGAGTACTTGAGGAAAAGTATCAGTACTTGTACTCGGTCTGGAAAAAATGTTATCGGTGCATCCGTACACAAGGCAAAGTATATAGTCAGAGGACGCAAGTCTGTATTGGTAGGGATTGGTGATAGGCCACTTATTGTGTGTGTGTCACATGTTTATAAAAGGACATAAAGTTTTTGTTTTAAATTGTATGTCATTACTCAGATTTCCCCCCAAACCTCCTTCCCCCTCTTCTAGTGCATGTCCCAGCATTATTCTTTTTCTTTGACCCTGTTCTTACTGAATCAGTTTTTATTACTCCCTGAAACATTATCACCATACTTGTAATATTTGTGCAGGGTCAGGGAGGTCGGTTCCTTTTGATATAGGTGTGCCTCCAGAACTACATCTTCCAAGCGTCCTTTCCCTACGCACAGTGTGTAGGTAGGCTCTTGGGAGTCAGAGCAGCAGCATTGTGATGAAATCAATGTATATATGTGGAGTTTGGTGGGGAATAGAATGAGTTCTGTAGCTCTCCAATGAGTCACATACCTGGAACAAGCATGTAGCCAGTGAAAAGAGCAAAATCAGATCTGTTCTTTTCCTGGGTTACTAACCCATAAAGTATTGAAGCCGCTGAATCAGTATGACTGGCAGTTAGTATTTTCAGAACAAGAGTCAGCGATGGCAGCTCATATCACTCTTCGTACAAGTTTTCTTGAAGTCTGACATTTGCCACCAAGTCAGTTGCCTGCCTCCACTGACTGGCTCCCAGTTCCTGAGTGTACATAACTATATGAAATAACATTACATTAGAGAAAACTTTCTTTTAAAGGAGAACTATGAAGTGAGTGATTTTCACTCAGCCTCATAGTTAGAGCCAACGTGTGACATTGAAGCTGTCACAGGTCGGCTCTATAGATCGGGAAGTGAGTGAACACATACCATCGCTCGTTCACTTCCCGATCATCTCCCTACAGAGAGCCGTGACTGTCAGTCACCTTTCCCCGCAGGGATTCCCCCCTCCCCGTTCCAATCCTCCAGTGCTGACCTGGAGGGACAGACGGTGGAGGGGGCGGGCCACAAATGCAGATAGGCAGAGCCAGCTGTCAATCAGCCCACCGGGTGGATCTTGACAGTATTATCGGGATCCGTCCTGACTGTGGTGCTCTCAGTATATAGCGGGCAATAGCCTGCTATATACTGAGCTTTGGATCATGGGAGGAGGTTAGTATATGTCCTCCCCTTACCTTAAAGAGGACTATGGGGAAAAAGGGTTACCCCATAGTTCTCTTTTAATGATTGGGTAGAATGACGAAGTCGAGCCACTGTAGTTACAGAGCTGTAAGAAGTTAATTGATGATATTTTACCTTTAGTTGTGTCTGTAAAGATGATACCTTTAAAGCTGAAATCCAGGTTGATTATAAAAGACTTACATTTATACAGCTCTATATTAATTAATGCATCATTAAATTATAATTTTTTTTAATAGAAGCAGTATAAGTACCTGAATTTGACTTGGTATCAGCTTCTCGTAGTCTACTCTGCACTAGTGCTCTGACTGGAGGGAGAAGCAACATAAGAAGCTAATCAGATGTGTTGCAGTGTAATGAACATGCTGATAGGAGGAGAGAGATATGAGCTTATCAGCCTGTTGCTTCTTACAGGCTGGGGAGGGCAAGACCTGTAAATCTTACATAACTGCAAAAGAGAAAAATTAGGCCTTCTGCCCTGCCAGACAGGGCTGTGCTGTGTAAATATCAGGAATAGATGAACAGACACAGAAATCCTTTGGCAGGTAAAACTGCTTCCACACGCGTGTTACAGTTCTGCTGTAAAAATACACATTCTTTATCTCTGAAGAATCAAGTACAATCATTATCTCTTTATTGTGTTTTTGGTACTCATGGTGACAGCCCTTCAGATTTCCACAATTCTGTTATTTAAAAACATCTTGAGCTCTACAGGTTACTAATGGGCTATAATGGGTGCAATAATATATACTCCTCTTATAAACTGATTGTAGTGTGGTACAGAACATTGTAGACCAGAGGCCAAGGACTCACTACCTGGTCGCAGTGGATGACGCCATACACACGCAGGAGGAAATGGTCAAGGTACGGATTATTTTATTTTCCTTTACAATGGAATGTGATGAGAAAATAGAATGCAGACGTTAATGGTTTACCTGACCTTGCCTTTCAATCTTTCCGGCAGGCTGTCGGCGTACACCTCGGCCCTGGCAAAGTGCAGAAGGTTTCTAAAGAAGCTGTGTTCCTGAATAAAGAGCTAACCGTCAGTAATTTCGTCTTTTCCGTAACCCTTCTCCATAACTATAGGCATATACTGTAGCTTAGGAAGCCATAACTCAAAATAGCAGAAATCCTTCCTTTTTTCAGATCAGGTCACGTGATCAATTTTTTCTTCTCCATACTGCATGGCCCAGGTGAGTGGGCAGGGAAAAATCACAATGCGTCACTTGTTCTGGTGACGTTTTTGGTGTTTGTTCCCATCTTCCACCCCTGACCTTGCAGAGACGAGCAAATGTGATTACATGATCTGTTCTGCTCAGTGAGTCTCACTGGAGGAGCTGCTGCCAGTCACCTAGTTGGTGTTGCCCTGCTCTGGCTGTGACATGAGTATGTGTGATGATGTGATCACGTGACCTGTCATGCCCTAGTATGACAGCAGTACTCGCTATAGGGGCCACTGCCAATCACTTAGCTAGCGTCTTCCACCGCTGCCTGTGAAATAGGTATGCAGATATCCAAACATTTGTTTCAGGGAGGTGCCCTCTCCTCCTGCCACCTCCCCCATCCGAAGGGGGGTGGGGGAGGTGGCACCTCCCTGGAATGATGGCAGATAGCAGAGGAGCCAATGCGGCTGTCGTCAGAATTAAAAAAAAAAAAAAAAAACAAAAAGAAGGGGAAAAAAAAGCTAGCGGCG